ATTTTTTACAGTTGGTATATTTGTAAAATAAATAATTATATTGTAAGCTAAATACAATCCTAATTTGCAACAACCTTTAGGAGACATTCTCGTAAATAATTGTTAATTATTTCGAAATGTATAGCTTTGTATTTAAATACAACTTGGTACTATGGTTTCATTTTTATTCTCGTTCTGAACCAAATCCTTAGGGTTATATATGATTTCTGTTTGCTGTTCGTTTTTGGTGTTATATCTGATTTCTGGCATGTGTTTACCTGTACAGGCTTTGGACAAGATTCGATTTGAGAGCCTTACTGACAAGAGCAAGCTCGATGCTCAGCCAGAGTTGTTCATTCACATTATTCCTGACAAGACCAACAACACATTGACTATCATTGATAGTGGTGTTGGCATGACTAAGGCTGGTAAGTTACTATGGTTTGTCATTATTTATTAAATTTTTGTTCTTTTAAGGTATTTTTTTTTTAATTCTTGTGGTTTTTATGTTCCAGATTTGGTGAACAACTTGGGTACAATTGCGAGGTCTGGGACCAAGGAGTTCATGGAAGCCCTGGCTGCAGGTGCTGATGTGAGCATGATAGGGCAGTTTGGTGTTGGTTTCTACTCAGCTTATCTTGTTGCCGAGAAGGTTATTGTTACATCAAAGCACAACGATGATGAGCAGTATGTTTGGGAATCCCAAGCCGGTGGGTCCTTCACTGTGACAAGGGATACAGATGGCGAGAGTCTTGGCAGGGGAACAAAGATAATCTTGTATCTAAAGGAAGATCAGCTTGAGTATCTTGAGGAGAGGCGTTTGAAGGACTTGATAAAGAAGCATTCTGAATTCATCAGTTATCCAATTTCTCTCTGGATTGAGAAGACTACGGAGAAGGAGATTTCTGATGATGAGGATGAGGAAGAGAAGAAGGAAGAGGATGGCAAAGTTGAAGAAGTTGATGAAGATAAGGAGAAGGAAGAGAAAAAAAAGAAGAAAATTAAGGAGGTGTCTCATGAGTGGTCTCTGGTGAACAAACAGAATCCTATCTGGATGAGGAAACCTGAAGAGATTACTAAAGAGGAATATGCTGCTTTTTATAAGAGTCTTACCAATGATTGGGAAGAACATTTGGCTGTTAATCACTTCTCTGTTGATGGTCAGTTGGAGTTTAAGGCTATCCTCTTTATCCCAAAGAGGGCACCTTTTGATATCTTTGACACAAGGAAGAAGCCTAACAACATTAAACTGTATGTACGCAGAGTCTTCATCATGGACAACTGCGAAGAGTTGATTCCAGAATATCTTAGCTTTGTTAAGGGTATTGTGGATTCTGAGGACCTTCCTCTTAACATTTCTAGAGAAATGCTGCAGCAAAACAAGATTTTGAAGGTCATCCGCAAGAACTTGGTTAAGAAGTGCGTTGAGCTTTTCTTTGAAATTGCTGAGAACAAGGAAGATTATAACAAGTTCTATGAAGCCTTCTCTAAGAACCTTAAATTGGGTATCCATGAGGATTCCCAGAACAAGTCAAAGCTAGCTGAATTGTTGAGGTATCACTCTACTAAGAGCGGTGATGAGATGACTAGCCTGAAGGACTATGTTACCAGGATGAAGGAAGGACAGAGTGATATCTACTACATTACTGGTGAAAGCAGGAAAGCTGTAGAGAATTCCCCCTTCTTGGAAAGGCTGAAAAAGAAGGGATATGAGGTGCTTTTCATGGTTGATGCTATTGATGAATACGCCGTTGGTCAGCTTAAGGAATTTGAGGGAAAGAAGTTGGTGTCTGCCACCAAAGAAGGGCTAAAACTTGATGAGAGTGAAGACGAGAAGAAAAGGAAGGAAGAATTGAAGGAAAAATTTGATGGTCTTTGCAAGGTGATAAAGGATGTGTTGGGTGACAAGGTGGAAAAGGTTGTGGTGTCTGATCGTGTTGTGGATTCTCCATGCTGTCTGGTGACTGGTGAATATGGTTGGACTGCTAACATGGAAAGGATAATGAAGGCTCAGGCATTGAGGGACAGCAGTATGGCTGGATACATGTCAAGCAAGAAGACGATGGAGATTAACCCTGAGAATCCCATCATGGATGAGCTGAGGAAGCGTGCAGATGCTGACAAGAATGATAAATCTGTGAAGGATCTCGTTCTCTTGCTCTTTGAGACTGCTCTTCTAACTTCTGGTTTCAGCCTTGATGATCCCAACACTTTCGGTAACAGAATTCACAGGATGCTGAAGCTTGGACTCAGCATTGATGAGGATGCCGGTGATGCAGATGCTGACATGCCACCCCTGGAAGATGCCGATGTCGATGCTGAGGGCAGCAAGATGGAGGAAGTTGATTAAATCTAACTCTATTGTCTTTTTCACTATTGTGATTCCAGAACAATCTTTTTTATATTTAGTGTTTGTTTTTAAATTTTGTAATATTTCAACTTTTGTCAGGTCTCATTTTGTCAGTTTGTTTTGAGTTGTCTTATATCTCAAATATTTATCAGGATGGAGGGAGTCGATTGAATCAAACTCTATTTTCTTTTAGAAATTGTGATTGCAGACCTTTTTCTTATGTCAAACTTTTTACTATGAAAAAAATGAAATTTGGTATTAGTAACTAGTAATTAGTTTTAATCACTTTTAGAATCTGTCTTTTAGACAAAACATATACACGACGTATTTAAAATTTGAAATATAGTTCAAAATGTAAAATATATAGCGGAATTGCTTAACATGCATGTTTTTGTTTTTCTCCTTATAAGCTTTGTAACTTTTTTAATTTTTAATTTTATTTTTTATTTTAACATCTTAAACACTTTTTTTTTGCATTTTTATAATTATAGTTCGACTTTTCACACATCAACCCGTTTTTCGAGTAAAATCTTCCTTCTACCCCTAATATCAGAAAATGACTTTTAAATCTAATAATTGATTCCACTATAATTAGAATACCAATTTCTTATAATACGTTACTAATTATCCTGAAATTGTTTGATTTATTATTATTTGATGAAGAATTTGAAATCTACTTAAACCTTAATAATGAAATAAAAAAAAAGTGACAAGAATTTTCATTAGCCTAATCTAAAAAAAATGCTTAAGTAAGAGGAGAACCATGTTTGGAAAGATAAAAAGAGTGTTATTTTGATCCAATAAAAGAAAAATAGTAGTATATTATTATACTATACGAGCTTGGTCAAGTAAAAGAGAAAAAAGTAAGAAACGTATACACATGGTTGATTATAAGATGAGAGTTGTTTCCATGGAAACATTTGATGTAAATATGAGAAGAAGCCATAGACGATTTCACTGTGGTTGGAGTGAGGGTTTGAAGTCCCTTGCAGACAAAGCAGAGTTTGTATGACGCATTGCAGCACGGTGGTGGCGACACCTGAAGGAGCCAGCATGTGTGGTGGGTGAGCAGAGACAATCTCTCTTCTCACTACAAGACCTCTTCAATGCGCATTCACTTGTCGGTGAATCAGACTCGTTTACTTTCAAACCTGGGATTTCTACTTCTGTTCCATTCACATGCTTTACTTTGATGCAATTTTCCTTTTCCATAACCTTTCCCTCCATCCCTTTCCTTTCCATTTTCATTCAATCAACAATTTACCAACAATTACATGTGTCGGATGCTAACAATATCCTATGACTTCTGTCTAAGAACATGCATGGAGGAGATAATAAAAGAAGACTTAATTACCTCATTATTCTACTTTTATCTTAATTTTTTATTACAAATAATTCAAATATGACTTTAATTTCCATTAAACAAAATTAGATGTTATATACAAAAAAATCCATAATAATTCACATAAATGGTCGGATTTAATGGAAAGATACAATATCAATCAGATTTGAACTTAACTACATAAAAAATTTGACATTATTTTTTACTCAAAATTTTAAGATAACGAGTTAATAAATCTTCAATCATATATAATGGTCTATTTTTCTTATTTTTACCCAAACCTCACTTTTAACATAAATGTTCATCATTATGACATGATTTTATTTGAATTTGAGTTATATGGTATATGATCTTCTAATGAGTTAACCCGTAATTATGGTGCATGACAAGATGTATGTACATTTTGTAAATGTTGAAGGCAATATGTGAAGGAAATGTAGAAAGAATACCTAGATAATCGAGAAGGTTTCCAGAAAATATGATGTTCTTCCGTGGATGGATTGCTTGTTTGACAAAAGGGTGTGATTAATTGTCTGCAAAAAAAAAGAGAAAAATTATCCCTAAACGAAGATTCTGATAAACTTAACGACAAGTCGCTAACCAATTAAATGTTGTTTAAAAAATGTGTGGTGTTTACTCTCTCAACAATTTATGGCCACAAGTTCTCAAAATGCTCTGTTTCCATTTTTCTTCTCAACCTAGTTGGACACGAACAATCATTTGCTAATTTCAACAAATTTCTAATAATTTCACACCTTCTTAACCTCTTTCCCACTTTCTTTATTTTGACCCACCCATTTTGCTTCTCCATTTTGCCACACGTTCAGTCTTAAATTTACCTCATTATTCTGTCTTCCATTTCCATTTTGAAAGCTGTAATTTTACACTAAGAAATAATAATAATAATAACATCATTTGAACAAGTTTATTTAGCTGTTGATTTTATTTTACTATATTATATGTGCAAATAAATCATATTTGTTCATTTTTGTGAACCCTCACCACCATTGCAAAATGAAGTAAGCATATAATAATAATAGTAGAATTTTGTTTAAGTTAAAGAAACAAATCCCACAACAGGGCCATTAGAAATAGAAAATGATTTATGGGCACCCCATATCTAATTAAAACCAATAAGAGAAAGTATTAATAAAATGTTTTAAGTCCTAAGTTTTTGATCAATCATTACTCATCCAAAAGTTATAGTAGATAAAAAAGTAATAGGAGAACATAACTATGACAAGCAGGGAAGAAATATATTATTTGCTTTATTTTTTCCCCTATAGGATGCTTGTCTCAATATTTTCATATGGCAATAAAAGAACTCCATTAATTTGAAAGACTATGGGATTCATCACCTACAACCAAGTATATATATAGTATAGTTTTGGCCACTGGTGAGCTATTCTGTACAAATGTAACCTCACTCAAGTGACCATTGTAAAGTAGTATAAAAGACCAAAAACTAAGGAGAAAAAAAAAGGAAAAAGAGAGGGTAATATCAGCAGTATACATGTGAACAAATAAGATTAATCCTTTTGACTGTTGTTTAAGCTATTTCTACATCTCCAATCCTTGCTTGCAAAGAGGACAACATGATGTAATTTTTAGCCATTGATCCACACATTTTAGATGGAACACATGGGAACAGGGCAATTGTCTAACTTCCTCTTTGTCTTTATACTTGGTTAAGCAGATACAACATTCCTGTAAGCACATCAGAACACAAACATATCTGTCAGTTCTATTGATTTGGAAATATGACAGATCTTGAAATAAATGGAACTTAAAAGCATATATCCAAACTGAGGATAACAATTATATGCTACTACTATCAGGAACGGCTCAAGGATTTTGAAGGCCTAAAACAAACTCAAGAATAAAACTTTTTATTACTTTTTTTTCTTCGTGTTTTTAAACCTAATCTTGAGCCAAAAGTTTGGACCTATCGAGGAGGAGGTTCACCAGAGAGACACAGTACCAATAAGATTTGAGCTCAATCACATAAGAGATTGATACCATTTTCTATCCAAAACCTTAAGACAATCGGTTAATGAATCTTGAATACGATTCTCTATTTTCTTATTTCTATTCAAAGTCAGACTTAGACCTAGACTTGAAATCTAATCGAACTTACACTTACATTTACACTTACATTTGAAGTGCATAACTTGGTTTTAATTTATAAGAAAAGATAAACTTTTTCTCTAAAATTGTTTATAGAAAATAATAATTTATATGTAATAGTGGTATCACTTACTTGGTCTTCATCAATCAGTTTTTCACTCCCATCAGAGTCATTTCCAAGCTCTAACTTTGCACGACCTTCTTTGTGTCTCCAGCTTGGAAGCTGTGAAATTTGATCATCAGAAGCTCCTTTATCAAAAGAGGCTATATTCATGTTGTAGCCAAGGAGGGTGCTGATGAGAGGCACAAAACAGCACAGCAGCAGAAACAGTAGAAAAGGGAAAGAGTAGCACACTGCATTCCAAGCAAGAAGAGTGATGCAGAGCACATGCAGTTTTGGAGCTTGTTGAAAAGATCCAAAACGTGAGTCAAAAACCCAAACATTTCCCATCACAAACCATATGGCAAAGAAAAGCTCAAGCGAAGTCCGACATCTGTTCATCAAGTGTGACATCCTGTACACACTGACCAATACAGTGCAAAGTAAATTAAAATTAGAGTTTCAAATTTCAACCATGAAAAAGTTGCATGGCTCCAACTAAACTACCAAGAACTTGCTGTCTGATTAAACTTCAGTAAATGACTTTGCAATACAAATAGCTTTTACAACTTTTTTGGCTACTATTTGGTACTGTTAATCAATAGATATGCTTTTTCATCAGCCAGAATTTATATTTTGATAGAAAAAAGTTGGTAACATGGTAACACTTGTATATTAGTTTTGTTTTTTTCATTTTTCATTTGATTTATATCCTTAATCAGATAGAAAAGAATGAAATAAGCAAAAGATTATGATCTGTCAAAAGCAAATGCCACGAACTGATCATAGTGAGAAAGGTATGTTGGGGTATTGGATTCTTCCAATCTCTTTTTAAAGGGATAAACTAAAACTACTGTTACTTGAAACTTGGTATTTTCCTATTTTCAACAACCCTATGCATGTGTCAAAATATCAAAGTTCATAGCCAACTCAAAGAGAGCAACTTTTCTTTTTATCAAACAGTTATTTTTCAAACAACAGAACGATGGTATCAAACTTTTCTAGCCAATTTTAAAGCATACTCATGGCATTAGTTCACTGCAATATAGTCAATAAATACAATTACCCATGATCAGTAACAATACAATTGACAGAAAAAAGTTGAAGAAGGTTGAATTGCACAGCATACCTGGTTTCTTCATGGTTTCTCTGCTGTTCTATATCAGAAAGGCCTTGCGTGAGATAAGTTTGACGATAGCGCCCGTAAAGTAGCAGAAGGTTAAGAACAACACCAATATCATAACCAGAAATCCAAATCCTCATAGGCCAAATAGGTCTCTCCCTCTTGGAAATGGCCAAGGTGAATGTTGTAATAGTTATTTGAACAACCAAGGCAATAAACTCCAGCATCATCCAAGTGCTAGAATTGAAAGGGTTGGAGCCAAGATTAGACCTTGATCCATTTTGGTAATGAAAAACTCTTCTCAAAAAGGTAAACCATCTTGCTCTAGATATTCTCATGGCCACCCGAACCAAGAAGGAAGGAGGGGTGACACGTGGAGGCCTATTTCGAGCACCAGCAATTCTATCTTCTGTGACAGAATTTGAAGAAAATGGAACCATGCTAAAGTCTTGTTGTTGATGAAGGAAGCACCTAGAATTCATTGAAAAAATGTCTTCTTTTGCCCCGTTTGTGCAGAGAATTTGTCCAAGGCGTGTAGCAGAGAGAGATCAAATAATTGACTCCAACATCAATATTTCTTAAAAGCACAGCTTTGCATCAAAAGAACTTGAAATTGAAGCACCCCAATAGCCAACTTTGAAGAATAGAATTAGTACCTTGATCATTGGAAGATCTTTTCTGGGTCTGCACAAACTCTTAGCAACAGAATCAAACCAATCTTCAGCTGCATGATCTTTTCAGTAACCACATACTGTATAAGAAAAACATGAAATAGGAGATGTAGCTGATGAAGTGTTTATAAAGATGATGAAGGGAAGATTGGTGTGAAGGATTTGTCAAGAAGGTGAGGTTGTGTTTCAGAGGGTGACCAAGAATCAAACTGCTGAGGTTTGCTTTGATTCAAAGGGAATCACAAGGTTTGGAGGGAAGTTAACCGTTGGCCAACTTCCTCTAGGCTTTATTTTATATGAAGACAACCTCACAAAACAATTGCACTCCAATTTCTCCTCTTTCTTCTTTCCTTCTAACCTTACTTTTTGTTTTAGTTTTGATGGCACAACCTGAAACAAATATATCTTAGTTCCTTAAGAACATCAAACTTGTTTTTTTTCCTTAGTTTTATATATTAATTTTAAATTAGATAAACCCGACAAAGATTCATTTATCACGACATTTTTTTATCAGTTGATAGAGTTAATGTGATAAACTTGAACCATTAAATAACTAACTGCACTTCACCGTAAAGTTTTCAGGAACTGTAATAAGAGAGTGATGAAGGAATTATCGTATCATAAGTTTTTCGGTCTATGGGTCGATGATAAGTCAGTATTATTTAAAATACATAGTAAAAGTAATAAATTATTTTTATATTAAATATGTATTGATAGATTTTGAATTTATGATTAATGCTAATCTAATTACGAGAAACAATAATAATTTTATTTAAAATTGTTATAATTATTTTTAGTGCTACTTTTATATTGTCTATAATTTGACTGACCGATTCATCGACCGTTTTATATGAGATTAAAATTTGTTAACAGGATGGTCTAGAATAAGAAATTGGATAATATAAATTCAATTTTGATAATAATTATAAATATTTAGCATTATATTCCAAATTTATAGGGTTAAAAGTTAAATATACGAAAGCTATACAGTTTAATTATGAAAAGTAAATATGAAAGAGAAATCATTGTTGATATCAAACTTTATTCTATAAAAATCATTAGTCAAACTCTGTTATTATGATTCATTGAGTAATTCAACATCAAATACTTCTCAACTTTCATGAATGTCTCTTCTCGAAGTTATTACTCTGCAGTTTTTGTCTTTGTTTCTCTACTGATATACATGGCTATTTTAATAGAGAAACTTAATTTTTAAGTTAGAATTTCACATCAGGTGAGAAAATTTTTCACCCAACAAAATTGTGATATTGGTTGAACTAATATTAAAAATAAATAAAATTAAACATATTGAGAATCTACCTTCACAACCTTTTCATAATTAATCGGGATTTGTTAAGCGAATTTGGATTTGCTGAACATATTATCTTCTCCGGAAATCATGTATTTATGTCTTCTTGGTTTGCTTAGCAAAACTAAATTTCTTTAATAAATTCTCTACTCCTATTTTTTTTTTTGTATCTCTTCATTTGTCAAGTGAAATTGGTTTCACTCACCACCTTTATATTTTGGCTTTGAAATCTTAGATGTGTTAAATATGTATATACACTAAAAATAAAATAAAATAAAAATAAAGATAATTTTAATTTTATAAGTTAATTTTGTGAAGATAAATTATACTTAAACCTACTTTTTAATATGGTATTTAAACAAAGAAAATTTTAGCAAGTGTCATTAAATTATACTCATAAATGAAGTGTTTCGACCTGAAGTTTATTAACATACATTTGTTACAATTTTGTCTACAAAAAGTGTTTTGTAGGATTAAGAAGTTGTGTCTCAAACAATTTTAGTGTTGTGACTTTAAATTCATTAAAATAACATCATAAAATTACATTAAAAATATTATTTGCTTTAAAATCCAAAATTTCTCTACAATTTTATCTTTAAAAAATATTTTAAATAATTAAAAAACATATATATTTAAATTAATCTTAAAATATCGATATCTAAAAAAAAATTGAAACTTTAAGAACAAACAGTGAGAAGAATGTATTTCTACACCGATTCTCATAAAATTAAGTAATAAAAAAAAAACTAACAAGAAACGCAAAGATTTTTCCTTTTTGGGAGTGAAAAGAAAATGAAGTGTATCTATATTTGAATGAAAGTGGATAAGATTTGTTTATATTTTAATGGCAACAAAATTGCAATGTGTAATGATAAAAGTGATTTAAATTGTGGCGGGTACAGTTGATATTTTTGTATTATGTGGTAAACGGTTGGCCACCTAATCCCACCAACAGTTTCTGTCACATTGGAGTAGTGTGGCCACCTCCTCTCTTCCAACAATAATTATTCCTATGTTTTATTCATCAATATCTTCGTCTTCTCTTAATCACACAACCAAAATATTGTCGACACCAATTTTCAGTTAGGCCTAATTTTGTATTTGCCTACAATTAATCAAAATCAAACGTTCAAAAGCCTTAATTTGAGGCCAAAATATTGACTGCTAAAGGTCAAATTCATGCGTTTGAATTCATCAAAAAATTGTACAAATTTCAAATATTTATATAGTTCAAATTACTTAACCCGCTATACTCGTATGAGTCGATTATCAAGACAAATCATCAGTTCTGATAACACTGTTGGGTCTATGAAAGAGAAGGTGCATCAGAAAGACATAATAACAATGAACTTTAAGTCCAACCATATAAGAATTGACACCAATCTCTATCTAAAATTTTATATAATGTATTATTTTTTTATTTCTATCCAATATGGGACTTAAACTTACATTTAGATTTTCAATAAAATTATGGTTAGAGCCTAGTGAGAGGTGAGTTAGACTTAAAATCGTTCCATTTTTTATTTTGAGGAAAAAAGAGTTCCATAAAGTTTAAAATTATCATAATTTATATTAAGAGCTTCACCCCTTGCTAATAAATGCTGAAGAGAAGTGAGATAAGGGAAAACTAAAATTCTCCTTCTAGATTTTTTGATGTTGTTTTTTTCAAAGTATATTAATTGATTTTAATGTTTGAAAATATATATCTTTATAATATAAAGAAAATAATATATTTTAATGACAATGGAGATAAAACACGTGAGATTGAGCTTATGAAAGTGGTGTGATTTACGAGTAAAGCACGTCGGTTAAGCTGGTTTTGACGTATTGGAATAAAATTTGACCCCATTTGGGCGGTGAGACATGCAACGTGTTAATATTATTGACGTATCTCGCAAAGGAAAGCCATCACAATCACTTTCAAAAAATGGATACTAAATGAGAACAACTCAACTTCAACCCCAAACACTGTCTTCTTAACACGAGTACACGGACAAAATAATATAAAAGCAAAAAACGAAGCAAAAGGTCGATTACGTTAATCAGAAAAGTATGCAAAAGCTAACTCATATTCTCAATTTACATCATCGACCAATTGAAAGTTGAATTGTAAATAAATTAAATTCGACTATTTTAATCGGAGTTTATTTGCATTTTACAATATATCAACAATTGTTGGCATAAATTCAAATATTCAATATAAAATTCTTGAATGCGACTTTGGTTAGGTTTCTTATGTTAGATTTGTTGGCGCATACAAATATTGAATATTAATTGAAAAAAAGTCACCTTCATTGGCAAGTGCATCATCATCATCAACCGAAAAAAACAAAAAATTTATAATTATTTGCTGCTACCGACTTTACCCATTATATATATTTTGCGTGTGATTTATTATAATTCAACTTCTTTTTCAAAAATCATATTCATTCAAGTCAATAATCAACTAATTACAATACCTGCATAGTACTACAAATACACTATTATTTTTTTCATATTTCCGTTTAATAATAGAGATATAATGTACCATCAGTCAATTACATATCAATATTAATAAAAAATTCATCCAAAACATATAAATAGAAGTTTAAAGTAAGGAAATAGGTTACATGCATTTACTGATGCATTAATTGTTAGTGGTAAAACATTAAGCTGACTTCGACATAGGAGTGGTTTTTACATGTATTTTCCGAACCGTATAAAACACTTAGACTTCTTGACAACATTCAAACTTTGGACGACACAACACAATCAGAACCATTGACCCCGACTCTAACCTCGAACAAAAGATATAATTAGTAATCATCAATTATATTGTCAAATCTTGAATTTAACATATTAATCTATTGATCTATTAGTTGAGTTATTTTTTGTTGTCTTGGATTCATGTCTTTATTCGAACCATTGATCAAGGAATAGATCAATTTGTAAGATTGAATGTTGAAAGTCTCATATTAACTACAGATAATATCAATTTATAATATTAAAACCGAACACAAATCGCATTTTATAAATATTTTTTTAAAATTGAGTTTGATATAAAATTCACTTAACATTGAAAAAAATCTAATTTTAGCGCACACAAAAATATTAATATTTTTGTCTAGAGATACATTACATGGCTGATAACAAATGCTATATGATTGTGCATGAATGACATTAACAAGAGGAAGACCTCAAAAACATTGCTGCATAGTCCATTTTTCAGAAGAAGAGATATGAATTCATGTAGTGATAAAAAGAAGCTATGGTTTTGACAAGAAACTTGCTCCCATGTTCAGGAGATAACAAAAGAATTCAGAAATAACTTCAACAAGAAATTTCTGCATAATACATCAAATAAGAGAACAAAAAGGGGTTCAGAATTTTGTTCTCAAAGTAACTCAGATTTTGTGTGTTTCACATCATGTGTGTGAAAGTCAATTGCTACAATGTTCCGTTTGCTATAGTGAATTGTAAACTACTCAAAGAAAAAGCAGTGGTTTGTATTGCAATCTTGGCCATTATACAAAATTTAACCTTTTTATGCATGATTACTTAAAATTATGTGATAGACCGGGTCATTTATAAAAACCATAAAAAGTTTCAATTTTTATTTAAAAATTGAAAGAAACATAAATATAACATTTAAAAATTGTATAGGACAAGGAGATAAATACGAATTCCCCTAAAATTATTCATTAGAGGTACAACAAAGTCAAGTACTGTTTAGTGTCATTTGAGTTAGTGAAACTCTTTTGACTAAAATGTATGAAAACCAACTCTCTTTATATAAGAACAAACTCAGAAATGATTATTCTATATACTTTGTTAACCTGTGCACATATTTTCTCAGCTCCATTGAAAAAAGTAAGACCTTATGGCTGATAGTGACAGTAGACTTTAATTCTCAGTATATCCAAAAATCTCAGAAACTGAAAAGAGGTTGTTAATTAATGTTTAGATCAATATAGAGCTGACACTTGTAAT